AAAACAGCAGACCTACCACGACTGTAACCTTTGGAACTGGTCTTAATATACTTCGCTCTAACTCAAGAACGTTCCATTTTCAGGGCAAAATGGACAGTTTCTCATCACCCAAGACAATCAGGGTCAGCTCGGACAGGCTTCTAGTCATTCCTCCTCGCACTTCTACTGTTCATTCACAAGGAAGCTCGGAAGGATACCTTCTTTGGTAAGGATCCAGGAAATCAAGGCTACAGTCATCCTGGAGACTAAAAGGTCAAGTCAGGGTCCAGAAGAGGAAATGGAATCGAGGGATTCTGGACACGACCACAATGTTTCAGCAATACCCAGGAATTTAAAAGGGCCGTGAATCGTTTCCAAGGTAGATTTTATCAGGACTACTGACTCACTGAGCACAACACTGCTTTCAGAGAAGTCCTTGTCAAGGCCCTTCCAAGCAGAAGGCAAGCAATTTAGCTGGTGCCGTCTCCAAGAATTCTGTCCTCTGCCTCCCAACTGATCTCCACTGCTGATAAACAGGCTAGCCCAAAACAGACTGCGGTCCCCTGGGACTTCTGAGGGAACCGCCTGAAGAACAGACTGCTCTGCTCAGCTCAGATCTTCTCTCCAGTTGCAAACCTTCTCCTTCTCCTGCCCACAAATGGAGGAGGACCACGGGGGCAAGGGCAGACGAGCTCCCGAAAGCAGTTACACCAGGGAAGGCAACACCAGGCTGAGGCGGCTCATGGAAAGAGCGCCTTTCTCAGCAGCCCCTGGGGGCATCTTAGCACAAACTGTGAGCCAAAAGCCTCTCAGAGGGTTCTTTCCTGCACATGGCTTGTTTCCAGTCTGAACGAGACAGAAAGTTTCAGAAGGCCCTCTGGTTTAGTGCTGCCCTGCCCAGTGACTTGGCACAGCTCTTCGTGTGTAGATTACATCTGAAGTATTTCAGTAACTCACCCTTAAATATTCGAATGAAATCTATACATAATTTATTAAATGACACTCAAAGAGAAAAACAGAGGCAGTTTACCTTCCTGGACTCAAACACCCAATGGCTTTTTCCATCTTCATCAATGTGATTCCACCAGCGCAGGCCAACCATTAGTCTACCTGTGACATTCTGGTAAAGATTAACATATACACACACATTTTAAAAACGTTATTTAAAGAGCTACCATAATATCCTATCTTAGTGTAACATTTCACAAATAAAGAAATCATCAGCTTTACCTCCATAATACTCAGTTAACAACCACTACACAACAGGCCTGGACAAAAGATTAAATCAAATGCAATGGCAGACCCGGCAGGGGTGGAGGTGATGGGTAAGCAGATCCATGAACATCGCCCTCTGTTCCCTCATGAACTCATCCTTTCTCCGGTTCCCTAATGTGTTCCCAAACCCCTTGTTCTTCTGGGACCTACTTTTTCCTCTATGTCCTCACCATAGCGACATATATTTTATAACTATGTATCTCTAAAAACAGTTGCTACAAACTCAGTGTTTGTGT